CTGTGTTGACTTTAAAAGCTATCAGCTTAACTATATAAATCCATTTGACATGTCTTTATTCAGATAAAACTTTAATACTGCAAGTGTAGCAAATTAGATGCAAATGCTCTTTTTATTTTAAGTATATTTAAAGCTGCCTTTTCAATGCAAATTTTACAGGAAATCTCAACAAGCTAGGACAGACATCTTAGCTGTCAGCATGCAGCACTTTCATTTCGGTCTCAGGCATGGGAGCTGCGTTTTTTCCCTGCAGACTGAGATAATTAAAACTACAGAGAGATGGTTTTAAATATACATGATACACAGTTACTTAAATTGTGGGATAATGCATAAATGCAGCCCTTAACATTTTTTGATAGCACAACATTGACCAGATAACATAGCAGAGTGGATTCTAGAAAAAAAATCCTTGTGTAAACAGTTTAATGTTTTGGGTTATTTTTCTTTCTTTTTTTTTTTTTTCCTTGCTTTTCACTTGAATTATTGTGGAGACACAGAAATACCAATTCAAAATCTAGTCTGTGAATGCCCTCATTTTTAAAAAGATATTGATACTATTAACTTTTTTTTCTAATTATGCCTTAACTTCTTTGTTTTTGAGTAGTCCATAACCTCCTTGGAATACATATCTATTTCAGCTTTCATTTGCTGAACCCCCTGAATGAGTTTATCCAAACAATGTGAATTTACTCAGATCTTTTTAAAATCCCACATCTCTTGTGGTTGATAAAGCTGACTTTAGCTAAGAAGAGTTGGATCAGGGTGATTTAAATTTCACAGTGAAAATGATAAGGGCTTTACTAGAAATAATAAGCACATTCAAATACTGTCATGGGCAAACAGTGGAATGTGCAGTGAGAAATTTGGCAAGGCTAGTCTTTTTCAATGTTGATTTAATGAAGTAATGGATAGTAAAATAGAAAAAAAAAGAGACTTGCATTCAGAGGTAAACTTATGTTAATTCCATATCAGTAGTTTTATAAAGCTTTATTCATTAAAAAGCAGTATTAATGCTCTAATAACTTTTTAAATGTCACGCTGTTTAAAAACAACAAAAACCCCAAACCAACCCACCAGCTAGGGAAGAAGAGTCGTCTCTTTAAGCAGTTCTGTACAAAGTGGCTGAGTGATACCCTCTTATTGTCAGGAACCACATGTCAGTTTTTGAGCCTGAGGATGACTTGTGTTTCAGGGGGAAAAAAAGAAAAAAAAAAGAAAAGAAATCTAAAAGCTCATATCTATTTAAGCTCCAGGGCAAGCGATAATTGTCCCCAGTTAAAATCGTTTTGAACATTTGCTTGTCGATTTAGAGAACACAGAGCCTCACCTTTCTCATTCAAATGGTGCCCGGAACCTGCACAGTCCCAGTTGCAGAAGAAGGCTTGTCTGCAGACCTTCCATTTGCGGGGCCAAAAGGATCGATGAATCCAGGGATGCTTTTGAGCGATGACGGTTTTGGCCATGGCTGTGGAATAGGGCAGGGAGAGGGGCAGGAGCAGCCAGGAGAAAACAAAGTTATTTTTCGAGGCATTCTTTCAGATGCTTTATTCCCTTCATTCACAGGGTTTGTGTACGGCAGGGAACTGGCATCCAGAATTAGTGTGGTCTGATGAGTGAGGCATTTGGGGAAAAAAATAAAGCAAATCACTTTCCAGAAGAGGCGAGGGAGAAGAAAAGAGAAGAAACATCACTGTTGCCAAAGGGCTGAGGTTAAGGATCCCTCTGTGCAATTTAACAGTTTTTAATTCCTACATTTTAATGCCTCGCAGGCCATTGTGTCAGTCTACTTTAGCTCCTTCAAGGAGCCATCTCCGTGCTGCCGAGTGGATTATCTCCCGGAGGAGCGGCCGGCTCCCCCCGCACCATCCATCACCCCGGGCGCTCGCTGCCCGCTGCGCCCCTGGCTCCGGCTCCCGAACCGCTCCGAGCGCCGCCTCACACTCTGGCTGGGGCACACTTTCTATTTCACAGGTGCCCCTATGATCTTCCTTTTCCTATTTTTTTTTTTTTTTTTTTTTCCCTTGAGGATGGTGGTAAAAATCTAATAGAAGGCTTCCTTCCATCAGCGCAGAGGAGAAGTGGTCATTAGCAGACACGGAGAGATCAATATTCCTGCCCAACCTTTCTGGTTGCAGTTCCAGTCAGTAATTATACAGCTGTTATAAACCCATGAATATCGTGTATAAGGAAAAACTAATCTCTTCAAAACAGCTTATTTCCATAGTTAATGACTGGAGAACTACAATTGACTTTGTCACTGACAACTTCTTTGTGTTTGATAAGCAGATTTTGTAGAAATAAAATTATTCTAAGGTTAAAAACAAGAACAAGAGCAAACCAAACAAACAAAAAAAAAACCCCAACCAAAACCTTATGAGGTAAAATTCCCCCATCCACCATCACACATATTTCCTGCATTTGGCTCATTACTGGACAAGTATGTCCTTTAAGACCCAGAGATTAATGAGCCATTTTACGAGACTAATACATTTTAAATTTTAACACTGGAGTTTGCATATATAATTGTACAATTATATGTTCGTTTAGATTTTTTTAAAGATAACTAATCACAGGTGACTAGAACTGTGTGAAAAGGCAGAATTTATGTTTCTCCTGCTGTAGGAGTACTAAATCATGCAGGAATTGAAATTGTTTTCCATATGACAGATAGCTCAGGCAAGATTAGTCAGTCACTGTTTCAGATATAATGCTTTTTTTATTATGCATACTTGATGTGGGACTATTATATTTGTAACATATATTTCTGCATGCAGCAAATTAACTATTATGTAATGCAAGGACCAAGAAAGAATATCATTAGTTCTTGCTATCCCGCAGTTTTGAGCAGCTGGTGAAATATATGCCAGTCATCCAACAGCTAGCTTCATGTTAACATGTATAACAAAGCCGGAACGATTCCTGTTTGACAGAACTTTACCATGTAGTAATAAATAAGGCTGAATTATTGATGGTGAATAACTGCTAATATTATTATGACCTCAATTAAGTGCTTTTTTTCAGACACATTAGCAACAAAAGGTCTTCTCTTTGCTCATTGCTGGTTTTTTCAAGTTCCACTTTGCATTAAAATCGAATTGATCAAACCTATTTGCCATTTCACTGTAAGTGGGTAACCATAATGGGTAATCTATCAGCATGGTGCTCCCCTTAAAGCTATTAACACCTTTTGTTGTTTTACTCAAGTTTCTAAACGTGCTGAGAGGTTCAAAAAGGCAAACCCTACAATCTGTTAGGATTGCACAGAGCTGTGACTTGTGGCACTCTTTTAATTACCATACTTTTTAAACTCTACTGTTAAATACTGGTATTTCTGACACTAAGTAATTCTTTATTTACTTATGAAGCTGTGAGACAGCTAAATTAAAGCTGATTAGCAAGATGGCAGCTCCGCTGCTTGCAGCTGAGGTGAGTATAGCTGCAGCATCATCTCCCCTCAGCTCGCTGCTTGACTCTTAGTCACTGGGGCTGAGATCACTCAGCAGCAAGACAAATAAAGGGAGCTTAGAGTTTTTTACCCTTTGGCAAATTGGCAAATTGTGTTAGTTACATGGATATGTGTGTACTGTGTGGAGCAGTCTGTTTGTGAGGGAGCTTTATAAAGGCAGAAGGAGTTAATTTCTGGGGACAGGCTGTGTAGTGTGCATGCTTGGGGAGTTGTGGGATTACACTCATTAAAAAAGTGAAGAGCTAATGAAATAATCAGAGGAAGAGTAAATAAACTGGAGAATACAAATATGGGCCGGCTGTCTCAGCAAGATTGTCTGTTCTTCCACTTGAGTCTGTTGAAGACGGCCACCCTTCTGTAACCATTCCTCAGGTTTCAGCATCTGGATTTTGGAGCTGCCTTACTAATATTTGTACAGTGCTGAATGGCAAAAGCTAGAGGAAACTCCTCATTTACCTGCTCAAGTCAAGTCTAGGCCAAGAGCCCTGGTGGTATAAGGCTAATGCAATGGCCAAGTCAAAGTATGTGGTGCCTGTGTTCATCAGCACAAATAGTAATGTTCTTGATGAAAATATCAACACAAACCCCTGGACAGAGCAAACAGGGGAATCCTTTATTCCTGCACAATCTCTTTTTATTTTTAACTTTCCCTTTTACTTTGTTGGTTTTTGGTTTTTTTTGTGCATGTGTGTGTGAAGGTGATGGTACTGTAGTTTGTTTTTGTTTTGTTTCTTATCTTTTCTGTTCTGTTGCACCTCCAGTACCTTTACTGAGTGTGTCCTATGCATAGAGAAACCCAGCTGGAGATGTGCTCCCTCAATGGATTGCATAATGGAAAGGAGCTGCTGTCAGCCCAGAGCAGAGGCTCCTGTTCCACCGTGGGTTCAGGAGAAGTGGGAACACCTCGGTGAAAACCTCTGTACAGGATTTGTACACTGCATGTGTGTTTGCGGGAGAGCACAGTTGATTTTCCTTAACAGGTAAGGGAGAATGTCCCTGCCTAGCAATCAAAATGCAGCCTTGGGACCATGCAAGCCTGGTGCCTGTGACACTTCCTGAAAGGGTGAGAGTCTTGTGAGTTCATTCATAACTATTCTTACATCAAATTCTCTTCTTAATTGCAGTGTCATGAGTGAAGGCAGAGATCCCAGTTCACTGCTGGCACAAGAAGACTCAATGGTACTGATTTAAGCCAGATTACGCCTTTTATGATGTTCACGTCAGCAGTGATTTGGGCCCTTTTGCTTCTACTTACAGAGTGAGTCAAAAGCAGGGTAAAATGTAGAAATGTTTGTGTTGGCTTCAAAACATGATTGAAGATAAATTGCTGTTAAGCTCCATTTCTGTCTAGCTGTTGATACATATAATATGGCAAATTAATTAAGAGCTTATACTTACAATATATAGGGATTTCAATTGTTTTAAAGTGGTGGTTAGTCTTTCAGCAGCTAGAGGATACACAAGCCTGAGTTATTCTAGTAGAGCAGTGCTTCCAGAAGCATATGTTTAGTTTACTACACTTGCAATTTCTTCATGTCAATCACCTTTTGTGCATTTTTATTGTGTGTTGAACAAACCAAAACTGTCCTTTGCCCATTTTATGAGTGTTCTGCAAAGCAGGGAATGAAGTGGGTTGATGACAGCTCATCCATCTCACTGTTTTTGAAAGGGATTCTCCTACTGGACATCATGCAGAGCAATGCTTTTTTGAAGCCCACCCACCTAGTACTAGTCCCTCTTCAGACGTGGTTGTATTTCCCTAAGGCACTTCTTGGAGTGGTAAATGTGCATCATCAAACAGCAGATTTCTTAATGGTATATAGTGATGTTGACTTTCCTGATGCTTCAGTTGCTGTTGTCTTAATGTAGGCTGTCGCTCATATGTCAGCTGGAAACAAAAATCAATAAGCAATGAGAATGGGAGTGAAGGGAAAAGAAAGAAACAAAATGATGAACAAGAATTCGGTATCTTCCCTCATAAACTTTATTCAGCTGGTGTGTGTGTTTTACCATTTCACAGGATCTGCAGATAATCCCCACAGTCTCTCAGTCTCAGAACTCTTCCCATTTTATGAAAAGGAAACTAAGGCACAGCGAGCAGAAACTGCTCCAGCTCCTCAGATTTACCTCCGATAAGCTGAAACAATTTGTTCAAGGGCACTCAGAATCTGGGTAATTATTCATGTCAACCAACTCCTTGTTCCCAAACCATCTGTACCCAGGCTTCCCAGGCCTATGTGTTTTTGAGAGTGTGACACACGCATTTAGTCAGACGGCAATTTTAAAGAAAGAAACATGTTATTATTTAAGAAAAATATAGAGCGTGTCTAGCACTCTCTTGGAGCTGTCTGCTCACATGTTTTAACCCTGTCTGGGGCGGTGGGCAGTGTCTCGTTCCCCCAGCAGTGGTCGAGCCGCAGTGCTTCGGGCATCCCGCACCGCCCGGGGCATGGCTGCGGATGATGGAGAGCGCCGAAATCCCGCTCGGAGGGTGCAGACGGGCAGGGAGAGCCTCAGTGACAGCACCGCAGCGGCCACATCTGTGATGGAGTGCTCGGCCCTTCAGTCCCTGCTGCTGCCTTCGCCGCTCCGTGATGCGGTATTGTTTACTCACAATTAAACTCTTTAGCGTTAATTGCACTCCCTGACGCTCAGCCTGTCACAGGCCCCAGCTGCCAGAGCCCGGGCAGATGTGCTCTGCACACTTGTGTGAGCAGGGCTGGGGCAGACCCCGCTCCCGGCCCTGCTCCCGGCCCCGCTCCCGGCCCCGCTCCCGGCCCCGCTCCCGGCCCGGCTCCCGGCCCCCGGCCCGGCTCCCGGCCCCGCTCCCGCCCCGCTCCCGCCCCGCTCCCGCCCCGCTCCCGGCCCCGCTCCCGCCCCGTTCCCGGCCCCGTTCCCGCCCCGCTCCCGGCCCCCGGCCCGGCTCCCGGCCCCGCTCCCGGTCCCGCTCCCGGCCCCCGGCCCGGCTCCCGGCCCCGCTCCCGCCCCGTTCCCGGCCCCGCTCCGGCCCCGCTCCCGGCCCCGCTCCCGCCCCGTTCCCGGCCCCCGGCCCCCGGCCCCGCTCCGGCCCCGCTCCCGGCCCCGCTCCGGCCCCGCTCCCGCCCCGTTCCCGGCCCCGTTCCCGCCCCGCTCCCGGCCCCGCTCCCGCCCCGTTCCCGGCCCCCGGCCCCGCTCCGGCCCCGCTCCCGGCCCCGCTCCCGCCCCGCTCCCGGCCCCGCTCCCGCCCCGTTCCCGGCCCCGTTCCCGCCCCGCTCCCGGCCCCGCCCGGCCGCCGGCGCGGAGCTGCGGCGTGGGAAGCGCTGATTCTTGTCAGTCTAAATCTCACACCGGAGATAACAAACGCTTGGAAGCCAGGCACTGCTCGGAGGAGATAAACACATTTTCCCCCATTAATTAAAACGTATCTGTAAATTTAAGCGGAGATGGTGGCTATAATAAGTTTTGAACCAGTGACAAATGTCAGCGGCAAAAGGCCTGAGATAAGACCGTGTCAGGTCCCCGTGCGACGATATGTGTGTGCCTTCACCCCTAGCAAGCTGAGCATCACACGGGTCAGGGCTTGTGGCTGACACCAGGCAGTTCAAGTAACCTGTACCAGGGGTTCTGGGGAGGTAGAGAAAGCCCTGCTGTAAGTGTGGTTTGTGCCCATCTCATAGGACAGTTGGGGGCTGTCAGTGATTTTTGAATATTTGGTCTTTCTCTAAACTTCTCTCTTGATTCTTTGGCCTCAAAGAAAATACTTCAATATAAGCAGTGTGTATTGGTGTGTCCAACATACCTATTCTGAAACTGAAGTGATGTCAGCCTCTAGAATATTTGTGGATTTCTTTATCAACTTCTTTTGTTCTCCCTCAGCCCTTTGCTGGTCACATCAGGGACACTATAGGCAATTATTTGAAGCATCCCATACCTATTCTGTCTGGCATGTAATTATTTCTGATACAATATGTGGGTGTGTTTTATGTGAAACACAAGAATGTTAAAGAAAATAGGGAAGAAAACAGTGGCAGTGGGATTCCAAGCCTTGCTAGAGGTGGGTACCAGAAATAGTTAAAAGTGCCTGGTTTTGACTCAGTCAACACTTTAATTGTCTTGTAGCTTTTGTACCCATTCTTTCCATGGAGGTATGTGATATATTATTTGGGTCCAGTTTTGCTAAGTGGATTGCAACTGGGGGATTCTTGCTGGAAGCTCTTTCTGGCCCAGCTGTTCTGGTAGCTGCAATATTTTCTCCTTGAAGAAAATAACAAAGACAGGGACATGCCTAGGAATGCACATGCAGCTTCTCAGGAAAAAAAAAATATATCTGTCATTCTTCCTTTATCATCCCTACTGACCTTGCCAGAAATGTTTACCATGGAGGTAGGTTTGTGTCTCCTTTTGTGATAAAGACCATCTCATTCAGCTCATCTTGCTGGGATTCAAAGATTTTTGGACACTCCTGACTTGTTCTTTGTTTAAAGCAGTGACTGAAATGGGCAGGTCTGCTGGTCCCCATTTGGATCTGTGGGCCATCCATTCTGGTATTACAGAGAGACGGTTTAATTTGAATTTCTGAGTATGTGTGTACCAAAACAGGAAATCCATCCCCAGTTCATTGGCTTAAGGCTCTGTGACCAGGTCTTTAGGACTTATCTAGTTGGTTATTAGGTATGAAGTCTTGCTTTGTTGGTTGGGTTTTTTTCTGGTTTGCTTGGGGCTTTTTTGGTAATGTTTATATGCATGTGACTATAGGAGCTACTCAAGAGAGCAAATTCTGTAAGCCTTTTCTGACAGGGTCAGCATGGTTTTGTGAGGCATCAGTACAAAAGATGGCAAAAAAAATTAAAACAGTATACATTCAGAATCCCTAAATTCCCCTAGATGTTGGTGGGAATCAAGAGGTCATTGTTAACACCTGATTTATTTTTCTTTTTTTTTTTCTTATATTAGATTAGCTTCTGTTACATACTAATTATCTAAAATAGTATTATATTATTTGATATTATTTCAACTCAAAACATTAATAAAGTTAGTATTTCAATTATTTAAATCTAACTGCATTAATGATTCAAAGTGAACACATTATTTGATCAAGTTCCTTATTTCTGTAATTGCAGTATATCCACAGCCATGTTCAAAATGTCTCTAAATTTATTACTAGACAAATACATTGTGCATATTTTTGTCACAGAATTGATCATAATGCTGAAACTTTTATCTGGAACATATCTGGCTTACTTCAGACTGTCTAAATAAATCAAAATATATTGTGCCTTTTCTTTTAAGGCAAGTCTTGTAAATACTGTACAAATTTAAAATCTGGTTCCAATAAGTGGTTGTGTTGTAACTGATTTGCCTTTTAAATTCACTTTTGGTGAAAACCAGTAAACAACTACTTATTTTTGCACTCACTTTCCATCAGTTTCAGTTTTTAAAAGATGTGTAAAGATCATATGAAAGGAGTAAGTTGCTTGCCTTGCTGTCCTCTAACTTTGTGTCGCATAACTTCTGCTCTGCAAGTTGTCTCTTCATTCATTTTCAAATCAAAGACAGGGTGCGGTGCAGGTGCCACCTCTGCTGTGTCAGTTCACTGAACCCCAGGCTGTGGTTAAAAGTAAGCAAGGTCTTCACTAATTTTAGTTTCTGTAGAGCTCCTAGGATGATCACTGGCCTATTCTAGATTCTTAGGGGTTGTATCCGATTTGAAAATACCTCCTCTCTCTTCCTAAGTGTATTCCACTGAGAGAGCAGGTATTTATAGACCTCTTGCCCAGCAGTTTCTGTTTCTTAACATCATGTTCGTGATGTTTCATTTTTTCATAAGTGTATGATCAGTCACCTAAAAGAAGTGATACCGCCAACTTTCGCTGATTGGGAAGTTGACAGTGTGCACTACACACTTCTCCCTTGGTGGTGTATTCAGCAGTGATAACTAATTTTTTAAGACTATCTCTGTGATTTAGCAACCCAAGTGACATTTCCTAAGGTGACCTTAGAACAAGACGGTCGGTGGCTCAAAGGCCGGAGCTCCTGGGCAGCTGCTGCCAGCTGTGCCCAGTGCCAGGATCTGCCCTCATGGGACGCGGGCAGCAAAGCCTCTGCTGTGCCAGCCCTCTGCTGAGGGACAATTATGGGACATTAACCCTTTTGAAATGTCCTTGCTAATTCTTGCCGTTTTGTTCCTCTGAGCTCTGAGTTTCTCCTCCCTTGAAGCCTACACATTTTATTAGGTATTGTAAGTGGCTACACCTGCAGTTTTAGATGACTAACACAAATGTTATAATGGTGGCGATCAGTCAAAGGAAAAGTTCAGAGTTCAAAGGTCGGTCTTTTGTAACTGGTGAGGAAGAGCTAGTGGATAATAGCTTGTTAATGTTATTTACCTCATTCAGCTGAAAAACTTTCTGTTGTGTAAAGACATTTACGTGGGCAATTCTGGGCATTGTCATTTGAATAGGGGTTAAATTATTCTGTTTTGTCATTAAGTGATCCTTGATTGGCAATCCATTACACAATGGGTGATCATTAAGGAAAGGCCATAAAACTGTTACACCGTTTAAGAATGAATGGTGAATGAAGCCAGATATCTCCAAGACCGTCGTCCCCCCAGCCTCCAGACTACAGCTGCTGGAGAAGCAATTTAAAGCAGAAAGGACTTGGAACAATTGGAACAGTCACTTAGTCCCTAATTTTGTTTTGAAAGTATTTACACTGAGGTGAACAGTAGATAAGCCTGCATATGGTTACCTAGAGTGTGTTTAGTATTGTCATGTCTCCTGATTTTATTGTGTCAGGGTAAGCATGAGCAAGGTTGCTCCGTTTAAAACAATCTGGGTACTGAGACTGTATCAGAACATTAGTCTTACAAATGAAAACAAACCATGGTATATTAATTTCAGAGAAATTATGAAAATGAGGCAGAAACCCAAATCAAAGAACTCGAGAACTGGCCGACAGAGAAGGAAGTGCAACTTGCTTGGTGAAATTGCCTCCAAATTCAGATGTTAATGGTGCTCTAGGCCTGAGCCATGGCTTTTGGGGGCCCTAGGCTGATGGCAGCTAATCAGACCCAGATGTTTTCAACCCTCAGTGTTCTGTCAAGGGACATGACAGGCTTTTCAGTCTATTGTAAATCACTTCAATTGCTGTAATGTTTAAGGTAGGCCAGAGCCAAGATTGTTCAGTACATACTTTTTAGGCACTGGTTCTGCTGTGGTTGGACCTGTGTAAGTAGGGCTCCTGTGCTCTTCTCCCCCAGTATGGTCCTGGCTCCTGCCCAGCCTCCCTGATCTATTTCATCCCACTAGAGGAGCAGGAAGGCACAGGGGAGGAACATGAGGCTCAGACAGGACAACTCTCTGGTCTTGACTTGCATCAAGTTAAGTTGTCATAGGACCAACACAAGGAAGTTATCATGCTGTAGCAAACTAATTGCTTCCAGCCAGTTTTACCTGACTTTACCATCCTCAGCCTTTGCAGTTGCAAATGTCACCCCTGGGGACTGGGTTTTCCAGCAGCTGTCCAGATAGTTTCACCCATGCTTTTGGGAATGGTGACTTTTCCACAATTCAAAAGCCAATGTAATACTTAACTAAAATTGCAGAGCTAATTAACTGCTTAGTTATTTGTCCTTGCTGCTTTATATTCCAATTGCAATTGTGGCTCAACCCACTTGAGAGAGCCTGTTATGTGGCCTGCAAAGAGACTTATTTTTTCAACTACAATTAAAGACAGGATTCTTTCCCAGTCATTAAAGATGTGCTGGTGCAAGCTGTGAAAGCAGGCTATAAACA